TATACCTCAGAATAGTTCAGGCATTCCGAAATTCTACCCTAGAAGATCGACAACTCGTACGCAGATGAACTCATGGTTCCGATTTAACTGGCATCAGTGAAATGTGTATTTTCCCCATCAGTATCCAGTATCCACAACGAATTTCTTGCACGACGAATTGCACGACTGCAGTGTTTTACAAAGGAAGATTAATTAGATCGAAAAACTGCACCCACGTCACCGGTGTAGCCATAATGAAAGGGAACACTGGAAGCGATGGTCCGGTGGTATGGGTGCAGTTTTTCGATCTATGAAGGCTTCCTTTGTAAAACACTGCAGTCGTGCAAAAGGAAGTCGGTGAGACGGTAAAATTTAGTTTTTTTTCAAATTTTTCACTGCATATTTTTATTATGTAATAATGATATTGCCACCGCCTACGTATTCAATTCCTCCGTATATTCAATTCCTCTACGGAGGAATTGTCACGAATGTTTTTTCGTTAACACGCAAAAAATTAAAGTTGTGCAGCTGGTAGAGGGGGGCACATAAGGTTAACAGCAACATAATTGGTTGCGCCGCACTTATTGTGAGTGATGCCATATTCCTTCAATCGCCACCGACATCAGTCGTTGGCACTGAAGTAATCACAATCAGGTGCGATCAGAATCTGCCATTGCCCGATCCAGTTTTGTTGAGCTTGTTGACAAGAAACAGAAACAAAAGACGCCATAACCGCAAATCTGCTTCTATAAGCTTCTAATACTTCAATCATTTAAATGGCCGTTTCAAAATATTTTTTTTCAAATCTGTACTCTGTAAAAATCGACTTCAAATTTTTCACTTTAAAAGCTACATGAAAAGTTATACTAGAAAAAATGAAAGAGCTACACAAAACCGGAAAAACGAATATTTTATAATTTATTTTCAAAAGTGTCCGAACTTGGCGTAGCAGGGCTGTAATATCTCAGTAACAACGAATGCGTTACCACCATTGATCCCGTTTTAAAGTACAAAAATCATTTCGTCATGTGGTATATGCTATGGTGTCTACAATGTAGGACTGAATGGTCGCGTAGCCCCATACCCAGCATTCTGTACGCAAGCGGTGCAGTGCACTTGTACGAAACGGATATTTTGAACTCAGTCGTACAGTACACTGCGCTGCATTCGTACTGAATGGGGAGATGTTGGGTATGCGACCATTTCGTCCTAAGCTGTAAAAGTGTAATGCGTCGGCGGTATTCCCGTTTTCGCAAAAGGGCTGAACTGCTAGCCACTTCGCGTTAAGTGTACGATGTTTGCAACGTTGACATTGTAAGTTGCATCCAGAAAAGCACTTCGGGTGTGTGTTCGAACTGTTTTTCCAGTCACTGACTAGGTATTGGTTCCACCTCTGCTTGAAATTTTTTAAAATTGAATGGTGGTATGCGAAGCGGTATCACTCAATTTTAAAAAAAGTCAAAAGCGGTCTGCAAAAGGTAGTACTAGGAGCCTACGGTGGTAATTGGTAAATAGATGGTATGCGGAGCTTTCACCTTTTTATTTTATTATCGCTATTCGATATTATGGATGAGTTGACATTCGTTTTTAGATGACTGCTGTTGAGTTACAATATCAAACCATGTACAAAAGATTGTCATGCAGTAAATTCATGATTCAGGCGCATCCGAACAGCAAGCGATTCTTAAGGCACTCCGCATCATGGAGATGAAAACAAGAGGATGCATTTTGTTCAAGCCTATGAGCGACGAAGATGATTACATCTATTTCTACGGAAACTTTCAGGACCAGTGAGTTTAGGCCCTTGTATCTTTAACCAAAAACGACGGAACTGACAATTTAATGTGTCTTTACCAGATGTGACTCGAAAGTGGGCAAAGTGGGCGGGAGACAGTTTGTTAATCTGGCCCGGCCGACACGCTATTCCTCAACATCTTGTGTAAACACGGGCAGGATCCAGCACGAGGTGATGCACGCTTTGGGCTTTCGTCACGAGCAACAACGCCCCGATCGCGACCAGCATGTCGACGTACGCAGTCACAACGCAATAGCGGCAAATTACCCTACAAATTTCGATATAATATCCTCGATCAACACTTTTGGACTTAAGTACGATTACCACTCCGTTATGCATTACGAAGCCTTCGCTTTCAGCGCTTCAAAGAACAGTCCTGTACTAATCCCCAAAAAAGGTCTGGTGGTCCGTATGGGTCAACAACTGCGCATGACCCCGAGCGATGTTGCAAAGATAGTCTTGGCCTATAACTGCCCTTTAGCCATACATCCCGCCAGTAAAACGGTCCGTGACAGCGAGAATTTTCCAAATTTCTCGCTGGATCCGATAGAGGCAGATACGTGTCAAGTGCAGTTTAACGATTACTGTGTGCCCGATAAAATCACCCAAGAGAACTGTAGGAGCCGAAATTATTTTCATATTCGTTGCCGGTCGGAGACTCCGGTGTCGGATCTAGAAAGTATGGCGGTTGTTATGGCCAATGAGACCAAGCGACCGATATTCATAACTGTCGTAGAACGACTCAGTGCCAATTATTCCTTCGAACCGATTCGAACCCAAATCGTGAAGCTGCAGCTACACAATTGCACCAACATTCGCGTGACCCTGAGGCTTAAGCAGCTGAATTTCGTCCATTTACTACACTTCGAACTTCATCACTGTCACCATCTGATTATCAAGAAGACGGACTTTACCATGTTCCAGCAGTTGCGAATAATTACCTTTCACAACACTACCGTCAGTACTCTGCAGCCGGGGACATTTACAGATTTACCAGAATTGCGGAGACTTTCCTTGGAAGCATTGTCGGACAGCCAGAAAAATTACAATTTCGAAGTGCCCTATCGAGAATTTTTGCGCCGTTTGCACTGCGGTTGTGAATTTTCCTGGTATCGATCATGGTGGCGGAGCAACAAGCACTTACGTCTAAAAGTACTGAAGGAGGAACTGTACTCTTTCGATGGACCTACCTTTGACCTGCTCAGTAATGATGAATTTTGCAAAGAAGATGTGTTTCATCCCATCAACTGTCGTGCTGATCCGTTTCCTCTTTAAAGCACAGAGTGGATCAACTATTACACCCAACTTGAGTACTCGATCAACGAACCGCAGTGCAGTCAGACACTCACGGTTACATCTAGGTTTCCGACATTGATTGTGAACTCCAATACAACAATAACGTCATCGTTCCCTGCGGCGTTTTGACCTTGGCCAGGTGATGTGTTGGAGGTAGACGGTTGCACAGCATTCCAAAGGTTATCGACTTACAGCGAGTAAGGAAAGACTAGTAAAAGAGGTTTTTGAAAGCTCAAAATAGTCAAAGTAACCATTACTCCATTGTCCATTAGCAACAGCGTTACTATAATTTGCCAAAGCAATCAAAACCTAAACGTTATTCACGACCATGACTCTATTTGCCAAACCCGTTATACGCTTACGAGTTATGGAGACACATTAAATTAGCCGTTCCCGCCAAATGCAAAAACTGCTACCTTGGTCAAATTATAAATCCGTATTAACCGTCTTCATGAAACTTTCTTGTAGAAGCCACAAAATGCATATAAGTTGAAGCTTTATAAAAGGCCTCCGTCAACTTCAGCACAAGTAATCGAAGCTTTCGCTCAAGCAACAATTGGTGCTCAGTCTTTCAAAGAAGCCCAAGAACAAATTAAGGAAGCAGGAGATGCAGTATTGGATCTTGATTAAATAATGCGATAGAAATATAGAAATAACATTTTCTTGGCCGCATGCTTCAATGTTGTATTGAATAGGGAATTTCACATGGTTTAGGCTCCGTACACTGCAAACCACGGCGTCAAATAAACAGTACATTATCAGACTGCAAATCGTTTAAAATGCTTCAGTACGGATGCACACTTGCAGCGACGTACAGCTGAAAAATAAAACTAATGGAATCGAGAGTGAAGAGAGCGTGACCAACATGCTCTCGGGGAGGTGGTTAGATCACAAACAAAAGATCAACAGGCAACATGCGCTGGCTTATCGTTCAACCATAAGCCGTTGAACACTTGAAACAGATAGTTTTTACGGCACACCGGCAACTCGCTGACGGACATCTTGCTGACCGACAACTTGCTGACGACTATTTGCTGACCGAAAAAAAATGGTTTACCGACAATTTGTTGAAACTTGAAACAACGAATAGCTGAACGACATTTTGTTGAAAGTTGGTTTGCTGACACCGACGATTTGCTGACGACTATTCGCTGACAACCGAAATGTTTACCAGACAATACGCTTACACACTAAATTGTTGACAGACATCTTACTGACCGACGTTTCGTGGAAACACCGACAACTTGCTGACCACAAATTTATTCTGTGGCCCATCAAATCATTGTAAAACTCAATTTGGGGGATTATGATCGGATACCACAACCACTTCTCCAGCTATTAACAGCAGTAGGCTTTTGCGGTAATCTGCGAAAACTATGAAACCCAAGAACCTAAAAACTGAAGAACTTAAGAAAACTAAGAAAACCTGAGAAACCAAAGAAACCTAAGAACCTAAGAAACCTAAGAAACATACGAAGCCTAAGAATAACCAAAAAATAACATAAGAAAACTAAGAATAACCTGAGAAACTTAAGAAACCTAAGAAACCTAAGAAACCTAAGAAACCTAACAAACCTAAGAAAACTGAGAAACCTGAGAAACCTACAAAACCTACGAAACCTAAGACTAACCTAAGAATAACCATGTATTCATATAAATGTCATGTATTCATAAAAATACAACTTTACTTCATCATCGCCGGCAGTCAAGTCAACTGATGGTCAAACAGTGACCTGCGTACGTACATCTAGGTTGGCAACCATACCGTTGCCAACCGCAAGGTTTCAGTACATCACACCTTTCTTTCTTATAAAAAAAAGAAAAAAAAGGTTATGACCTTACTCGTACAAAACGTAAAAATTAATACATCAACCTGGTAAAATTTACTCGCCGGCGCTTTCCATGCGTTCATCCCGACTGGAGCTCAAAGTTACAGGATGTCGTATGGCCTTCGCTCCTCGGCGGAAATGTACTTGTTACTCGTTCGCTCGGGACACTTCCGGGACGAATGCCCTTTTTCGTCACACGTGTTGCACCGCTTGTCGCGGAAGTAACAGCTGCCCGGGGAATGGTTGCGGCGGCCACACCGGTAACACTCTTTCCCGGCACCCTGACTGTTCTTCCTTCCTTTCTGGGAAATCTTGTTAACTTCAGTTTTCACATCGTCCATTTGCAACTCTTTTCTGGTCATTTCTATTTCAATGGCGGCATTCAAGGCGTCCTGAAGTGTTGCCAGCGACTTTGTACAGAGTTTCTTCGTCGCCACTTCATCTTTCAGCCCCATGACGAATGCTGCAATCATATTCTTCTCCCTTACGTCGTCCGGAAAGTTACATGTCTCCGCCTTCGCCCGAAGGTCACCCGAAAACTGGATCAAGGTCGCTTCCGGCTTCTGCTTTGTACTGAAGAATTTCACCCACTGGGCGATCCACATTGTCGGTGCCGTGTAAGCAGAATCCAGGCGTGCGTATAAGTCGGCGATCGGTAGATCCATCGGTTCCTGCGGCTTGCACATCTTTGCCAAAAGTTCGAGTGGCTCCGGACTCAGGGCATCCAGAAGAAAGACATAGTGGCCTTTTTAAAAGATCTGAGGCCTTCACGCCAATGTCATGTATTCGTAAAAATACAACTTTACTTCATCATCGCCGGCAGTCAACTGATGGTCAAACAGTGACCTGCGTACGTACATCTAGGTTGGCAACCATACCGTTGCCAACCGCAAGGTTACAGTACATCACAACAGAAACCTGAGAAATCGGAGAAAGCATGAACCTAAGAAACCTAAGAAAACTAAGAACCTAAGAAACCTAAGAACCCTAATAAACCGGTGTAATTATAACAGTTAACAGGTATTAATAAATAATTAATATGGACTCAGACTAGAACATACTCAATAACTTAATATGGTGTAATTAATAGCAGAAATTTATATTTCAATTATAAGTTTTAACTGTCACAGTATTTCTTCCTTTATATGAAACGAAAGAAGATTCCAGTTTTCGCGTAAATATCCCTGATATGCGTTGAACTGGTCAGCAAATTGTCGGCCTGCGAGTTGTCGATTACCGACATTTCGCTGACCGACAAGTAAGCTGTCGTTCAGCAAATTAGTTTCAGCAAGATGTCGGTCAGCCAGTTTGTAGAAAAGCGAACTGTCGGTCCGCGATTTGTCGGTCAGCAAGTTGGGGTAGTCAGCAACAAGTCGGTCATCAAATTGTCGGTCAGCGAAATGAAGGTCATAGTGTTGTCGTGCTACCAGTTTTTACGCGTCAGCCAACGACGTTGGGTTACGGCGCCGTACGTCGCGAACGGACGTAAATCAACCCGTAACGTTAATCTCTGCCCGAAAGTCGAACTGTACGGATCTTGTTTTGTGAAATCATAATTTTGATAATATTGCCGAAGCGTCCTACTTGCATTTTCTTTACGTACCACCGCTGCATTTGTCACGCATTTAAATGAAAGATAACAGCCCTTCGTGTAATGCCAAACAGCGACAGCACCATCTGTATAAAAGGTATACTTATAGTCCCATCTCTTTATATATATAACAACCTTTATTGAGTTCCATTTGCTGTTATGCGGCAAAAAACCCCTATTACAAATTAGGGGAAAAGGCACGCATAACCTATTCTTTTTTGAAAAGTTTTGTAAACAAAACTTGTGCAACGGAAACTGCAATAAGGTAAAAGACCGCTTGCCTCCTCTACTTTACACATGAATCTTTTTTTTGGTATTTTCCTAGAAAAAAAATAATTAAAGCAGAGATTATAGTGGTTAAGAGTAAGGAAAGGACGATCACAATACAAATTATGCAGGATGTATGGCAAGCTACAATGCAACACACCAACCGCATAAAAAAAGCCCATCCGGATACAAGAGCATAAGTGTTCCCGCGAATTCGTGCGAACAAGTGCACTCACGGCAAAAAAGGTTACTCCCTTGAATTCCTGGGGCAAGGAGTCTTTCATGAGCTCTTGCAAGTTTGGTTCAGACTTTAGAGCAAGAAAAACATGCACATATATGTATATATATGTATGTATATAGGGGGAAAAAGCAGTCTAGCCGAACCATTGCCCTGTACTGCTACCGTCAGCCGGCTGGAGTTTTACGTTGTGGCTAAACATGGTGCTTATGTACATTGTACCGCGCCTGATTTAGCCGCATGTACTGCCGTAACGTCACACTCCAGGCGGGTGACGGCAGCGGTGCCGTGAATTGGTTCGACTGACATGGTTTTCCCCCCTATATATGTATGTATAGATGTATGTATATATGTTTGTATATATGTATGTATGTATGTATTCATAATAAGTAAGCTTTCTGATCCAATCAGCATGCGAAATTTTTGCGAACTCACATTTTTTGGACTTCAAAAATTCTTTGAATCAAAATTTTTGTCACCTTTTCATTACGTACCACACAAAATTTCTTTGTTCCAAAAAAGTCGTTTTTTTTCCGAACTCCATATCGTAAAAGCGTCCGGAATGCGTAAAACGTCGAAGTACGGACTACGGAGCACAGAATTGTTAATCAACTCATTACGCAAATGGCGCCGATTTTTATACTGGCCAGAAATTACTCAGAGTTGTATATTTGGGCACTAGTAACACACTGTCGGCCAGAATCAGCAGGGACATTGGTCTGATTAATTAATCTAACCTTCACCTTTTAAAAGCATTCACACCCATATGTTACCATTTACGAACTTGAAGTCCATTGAAAAACTCGGAAGAAGGAAAAATCTGGTGTCCAGCGTAATATTCCGGTACGGCGCTCCGAGATAATCCATCATCCGCAATTTCTTCATACCCCACCCGTAAATGGCAGCCAGTCGACTGTACCATTTCCGGCTGGGGAATGCCGAAATGCAGGCGAATTAATTGGGCTCATGTCCGGTCCAGTATGCACAGCGCTTATTTTCCTAACATGGCACGCATGTTCGTGTCCGTTTATGGTCTGTTTGTGGAAGGGTACAGTTCGGTTGCGTATTTGCACGATGGAATTCCGTCGGAAAGTTATTTTATTTTCAGCGTGTAATATTATTATCAAGAAATAACTTTGACGGTAATATAGTGCGGATTAAAGCGGAAATGTAACGTGCAGAAAAGCAACAACACAAACACTCCGTGTGCCGTGTTACGCGGAAGCAACTACAATTTCGGAAAATAACTACGTACATGCATCGCCTTTTCGGCACCGATAGAATGGAGGCACAACATACGAGTATTTACGGTAGGCAAACAAGTTCATGTGCGAAGCAGTACAAATGCTTGCCCTGGCATAAATCGCATCATCCAACCGGAAGTATCGTATACTTGCAACTTTACTTTTTGAATCATGTGTTTGCCTGCCAGTTTACATTTACCGATTGCAGCAGGCCACATTGTGACTCACTGAACTCCTACATGAACCCGGATCAGTTTTCCTTTGCAAGTATCGACGATGCCATTGCGCAAAGTGCAGCCGGTTGTTATTACGGTATTGTGGACATAAAAAATGCATACAGGCAGGTACCGGTTTTTCCTGCCCACCGGCAATTTCAGGGATTTAGATGGGAACTTGACGGGGTCACATCATACTTTATCGATAACTGTTTGTGTTTTGGCTTAGCATGTGGCCCCGCAATTTTCCATCGCATTTCATGCGCAATTGCCCGTATTGCGAGATTGATGAGCATAATTATTGTTCCTTACCTGGATGATTTTTTAATTATTGCGCTTACCTGGTATCTTTGCGTAACTGCACAAAATAAGTTGATTGAATTATTGATTGCTCTCGGTTTTCCAGTTAACTGGAAGAAAGTTGTCCCACCAACTCAACGGGTGCAATTTCTCGGTTTGATTTTGGACTCTAACGCTGAGATAATTGAGCTCCCTTATGAAAAAATTGTTAAAATTGTGAAACAATGCGAGTCTATACTTTTGTTTGAGAAGGTCACGAAAAAAGAGCTGCAGCAACTAGTTGGTCACTTGTGTTTTGCGTCTCGCGCCGTTCGTGGCGCTCGCACCTTTTCTCGTTTGTTTATTGACTTTATGAATACTTTAAGGAAAGTCACCACCGAGCAAGAATAACAGCACCCGTAAGACATGAGTTGTTGTGGTGGATTAAGGTAGCGCCAATGCTTAATGGTATTTTCTCTTCCAAATTCGGGAAGGAACGTCGCCGTGTGTTTGTCAATACTGATGCATCATTGGGTGGGTTCGGCGCTGTTATGGGAAATAGTTGGGTAGCTGGGGCCTGGGACGATAGTTTTGTTCCTGCAGATATGTTAATAAAACGATGCTGGTTGTTAGCCCCCCATGTGCACAACAGTTTAAAAAATAACATCAATTTTCTAGAGCTGATTGCAGCCTGTGCAGCAGTGTTGGTGTGGTGTCAGGTATTCCGTGGATGCGAAGTGGTCATTGTCAGTGACAATGCATCAACGGTAAGTTTTATAAACCGTGGAACGACTGCAAACATTCATGCCCTCAAATGGTTAAAGTTGTTATTTTATGCCTCGTGTGACTACGACTTTGTTGTTACCGCAAGGCATGTCGCAGGTGTTGATAACGATATTGCTGATGCGCTCAGCAGATTGTCGGAGGGCGAAACACAGTTAGCACGGTTCCTGTCAATTTATGGCGCGCCACATAGTCATGTCGGCGTGTATAAAGAGTGTTTTTACAGGTATCCGAACGTTCTCACTTCAAAAAACTTTGAAGAGATTACAGCTTTCAGCTTATGCACCAAAGTCGCTGAAAACGCGGAAAGTACAGTGGGAAAAATATGAAACGTTTTGCGCCAAGTTCCGTCTGATCGCGGTCCCAGCAGAGCCACGGACGCTTGCTTTGTATGTCGCGTATTTGTCGAAAACGATGGAATACTCTTCGGTTGTAAATTATCTCGCCGCGATTGCAAGTTTACACCATAATTCTGACCACCCCGCACCGGACTTGCAACACTACTCTATACAGCAAGCCTTAGCCGGTTTAAAGCGGTTACGGGAAGAACACCCGAAACGGAAAGCAGGTGTGAGTGTTGAACATTTGTTATTGATTTATTCTAATTTGAACCTTGTTCCAGCGCATTGTAAAGAAACCTTTTGGTGCGCTTGTCTTTTCGCCTTTTACACCCTGTTGCGGCGAAGTAATTTGTTTTGGTCCAAAGATAATAAATCGTTTTTGCGCGCTCAGTCCGTGAAGTTATCAGGTACAATATTGATGGTTACTGTGCCCGTTTTGAAAACGGCGAGGTTTATGGGGCAAACAATAACTGTTCCTGTGAAAAGTGTCCCAAATTCTGTGTTGTGTCCAGTGAAAGCACTCCTGGCGATGAACGCCAGGATAACTTTATCACCGTCAGACCCGCTTTTATCGTACAAAAATCTGAAAGGTCACATAGTTCCACTGACGGCGCAAAAATTTACTGAGTATCTACGAACTATTTTGAAGTTTGTAAATCTGCCGTATGGTTTATTTTCTCCCCACTCTTTCCGGAGAGGCGGGGCGACATTCGGTATGTCTAGTGGTT